AACTAGGAGAAAATCAAAGAAGAAGTCTTAACAATACTAGAAAAAGATCTTAAGCTAAGGAATTACATAGAAGAGAGAGATAGATTAGAGGCCTAATCATGAAAGAAAACTTCAATGAGTTGAGACCCTTTTTCAACTCAAATAATCAAGCAAAGAACTTTCTAGATAGACTTTGAAAGAATTAGATAAAAGAAGTCCATAAGAGAATATGAGTTGCAAGATATAAACTAGTGCAAGAATGGGATCATACCAAAAGATAAAAGAAGATCACACAAAAAGGCAAGAAGGAAAAGAAGAAAAAGAAACTATCAAATAAATGTACTAGAAGAAAAGAAAAAAATAAAAATGAAGACAAGGATAAAAGATAGAGTTCAATTCTAGAGATAATTAAAAAAAAGGACAATAGGCAGATTGGTGAAAAACTAATATGTAGTTTTGACAAATAGTGTTGACATATTATTGAAGCCAATTGCAAGATAAGATAATACAGAGGTGAATTTTACTATAGCAGGTCATACATACTGTAAATACTCAGTAAGTAACTGGGTGAGTCTCCACTTGTAATTTAGGTACTATAGAATATAACTTTGTAGAAAATTTTAATAGTTTAGATAATTATTACAAAGCCTAATAAAGTGAAAGCAAGACTGCTAAATTTTATAAAAAAAAAAAAAACTATTTGTAACAACCTGTTAAAGTTGAGGTTAAGTTAGTATTAGTGCTAGGGTTAATATTAAAATTAGGTTAGAATTAAAATTTATATCAAAATTAATACAAAATTGTAAGAAATTTATTTTTCATTAGTAGCACAAAAGAGATTATCTTAGTAAAATTTTGTGTTATAAAGAATTTAAGTATAGGTTGTTACGTAACACATTGTTACAATTAAACTTATCTATATTTTAATTAATATTAGAGTTATAATTGAGATTATAATTAGTAAAAAGTATAGTTTATAGTAAAATTTTACAAGAAATTTTTTTCTTAGACCTTAAAGGATAGTTTCATAAACAAAAATTTTAAATATTATTAAACTTTTATTTTTTTCTTTATTTTTATATTTAATTTATATTTTGATTGGCTTTTCTATTTAGTTTGTATAATTACATATATTTAAACACTCTATATACAAATAGTAATTGTTAATTTTTTATTAATATATTTCTTTATTTTATATTTTTATAAAAAAATTTAAGAAGTAGTTTATAGTTAAAAAATCAAAATTTTATAGTAAAAATTAATATAGTTTTACTAAAAGAAGTATTAATTTTTTAGCATAAAAGAAGGTACCAAAATATTATACTTTTATTTTTTTTTAAATATTTAAAGTGAGAACTTACTCTTACAGTATCTTTATTAAACTTAATGAAAACTTTTTATATAATTAAAAAAGTTTTAAATTTTAAGCCTAGTGCTAAGAATAAGAACTCAGACATCACCAAAATATTATGCTAATAGATTATATATATATGTGTTTATATATAATTATAATTATTTAAAATTTTACTATTTATAAAAAATTAGCTAATAAATGACACTTCTCTAATTGCTTTATATAAAGTTAAATATTATATTTTTAATTAGAAAAAAAACTATAATAAAAACTCAAAAATATTTATATTTTGTAATTTTTTTTTAAAAAAAATCTTGCTTTATGTCTTTATTAAGCTAAGCATTATAAATATATTATATAATATATTATACTATTACAAAATATTAGCTTAGACTATTTATTTGTAATCTAAATCTATTAAAGTAATTTATAACTCACTTATATATTTATCTAGATTTTTTTTATACTACTACTCTTTCTATCTTTTATATTTATTATATTGTTTATATATTTAACTATATACTTTTAATTTAATATAGTTATTAAGTAGGTATAACTTTATAGTTACTTTTAGATTGGTATAAGTAAATACATGTTGTATTGCTACTACTAAGTTTCTATCTTTGAATACTGCTGCAAAATCAGCTTGTATTTTTAGCACAATCTTTCTTGTAATATTGTTATATTACTATATTTTAGCGTTAGTATAGTTATACAAATTACTATTTATAGCCTAGTTTAAGTACTACGATTCAAATTTGTACTATTAGATTTATTAATAGACTTTTTACCGTTTTGTAATTGGAGTTATATTAGCATAATATTTTATTATAGTACCTTATCATAGTACCTTATCATAGTATCTTAGCATAGTACCTTAGCATAGTACCTTAGCATAGTATCTTATCATAGTACTTTAGCATAGTACTTTAGTATAGTATCTTAGTATAGTACTTTAGCATAGTACCTTAGTATAGTACCTTAGCATAGTATCTTAGCATAGTACCTTAATATAGTACCTTAGCATAGTACCGTAGCATAGTATCTTGGTATAGTACCTTGGTATAGTACCTTGGCATAGTACCTTATCATAGTACCTTGCTATAGTACCTTACCATAGTACCTTACTATAGTACCTTATCATAGTACCTTACTATAGTACCTTATCATAGTACCTCTTGATATATAGTACTTTGATATGTTTTTAAGATAACAATAACACGTTTTTAGCATATCAAAATGCTATATAAACTCTGACTTTTTTCCCAAATCAGGTTAGGTTCTTCTATCTAAGCTTTTATTAAAAGTTCTCTTTTATCTTAAAGCCCTTTCTTTAGCTTAGATTTTTATCTCCAAGTCCTGTTCTTTCTCTAATAAACTGATACTTATTTTTGGCTATACTCTTACCACATTGTGTATACCTTTTATCCTTCATCCATCACATTGTGAAAGTTCCTTTTTATTGTATTTTTATTATATTTTTGTTTAGTTTTGGTCTTGTTTTTATCCTTTATCTATTATGTTGTAAAGATTTCTCTTATTGTGTTTGTTTTATATTTTTGTTTTGTTTTTATTCTTTATCTATTATGTTGTGAAGGCTCTTTTTTATTGTATCTTTATTATATTTTAGTTTGTTTTTATCCTTCACTCACTATGTTGTGAAGGTCTTCTTTATAGTATTTTGGTTATATTTTTGTTTGGTTTTTATTTTTCACCTATTATGTTGTAAAGGCCTCTTTTATTATGTTTTAGTTATACTGCTTTGTTGTTATTCTTGTATATTTTCTTTTAGGTTTCTTGTGTTTTATCCTATATTTTGTTTTAGTTCTTGTATCAGTTTATTTTGTCCTTCTACACATTCCTTGCCCTTTACACGTTAAGTCAAGTAATATAGTTAACTGATCTAGGTTCTCTATGTTACAATATATAGTATTGTTTATATATATTTATATATCTTGATAGCAGCTTATATCTTGTAATATATTGAACTGATTTTAATAATTTAACTATTATTAAAATTAAAAAAAATTAGCTTTACAAATTTTAATTAAAATTTATTTAGTAAAAAAAATATTTTTATATATAGAAAAGTTTTTTTTTATTTTTTTAAATTTAGCAATTTTAGCTTTACTTTATTAGGCTTAATAATATTATACTTTGAAATATTAACTTTTCAGAGGGCTATTCTCTCTGATATCTAAGTTACAAATAAAACTCACTTGGTTATTCAGAGAATATCTATGTGTAACCTGCTATAGTAAGGTTTATCTCTATACTAATTTATCTTGCAAATAAGTTCATTAGTATTTCCTTGAATAGTTTTTATAGCCTATCAAGACTACTAATTAATTTTCCACTATTTAGCCCTTTGTTTATCTTTTATTCAACTTAAAACTTCTTTTTTTAGCTATATCTAAAACTATTTTTTATTTTACTTCAGTTTCTTTTTTTCTACTTTCTTTTTTGTGAGTTTTGTCTATTGGGTTTGTTTTTTTTATTTGCTTTCTTTCTTTTTTTTCTTCTTTTTCTTTTGTTTCTTTTTGGTATTTGTACTATATCCTTGCTTTTCTTCTCATATTATACCTTTTTTTTTTTTTACTTCTGTACTAATTTATATCTTTTGACCTATAAATCTTTTTTATCTATCTTTTTCAAAGCCTTACTATGAAGTCTTTTGTTTGTTTATTAGATACAAAGCTTGGCCATATTTCATCGAAGTCTTTTTTTGTAATCAGACCTCTTATCCATCTCTCTCTTTAGCAGAGCTCTTCATCTAAGCTTCCTTTTTCCATCATGGCTAGAATTTCTTCTTTCTTTTCATAGATGTTTTGTAGATCTTCTATTTTTTTAAGAGTTATCTCTACTTCTTGCTCTTCTATATTACATATCAGACTTATTAAAATTTTACAGCTTACTAAGTGTTTTATATTTTATATTTTCTTTTATATATAATATATTTATTGCTTTTGTATAAGTTTGGATTTCTCTAATTGAATCTTCAAACACTAGCAAAATGTTGTTTATATACTTTAATTTAAAAAGTTATATTGTATTTGATTTATATATATAATTTTGCTATTTAATTTCACTTTCTAAAATTTTATAGAAAATTGGCCAATACTGCAAGATTATTCTTTCTTGATATGTTGTATTTTAAATATTATGTACAGAAGTCTATTTTACTCTGTTTATAACTTTTCTAAGTATTTTAATGAAAGAATATACAGTATTAGTGTAACAGATGTGTCAAGTTTAATTCAAAAAGCAAAGATTTTATTAAGAGTTAAGCAGACTGACTTGTACAAAGGGTTTGTATTATTCTTTTATATATTTTTGAAGCTATTACAAAGCTATTACTATTTACTATTGTGCTTACTAATTCTACTACAAATTGCTTTATTTTATGACTATATATTTTATATATTTAAATTCGATGACTATATAATTTATGCGAATCTATTAACCTTTGGTTAAACTTTCGCTATGATACTAATTTATGACCTCATAATTCATGCATTGGCATGACTGATGTCACGAGCACGAATCTTAGACTTGAATTATGGGTTCGGGCACATGTACAAGTCACGGGCTTGCGATGTACTTGAATTCAGGGCTTGGACTTACGATATGCTTAAATTTGGGGCTTGGTTGTTACACCATCTCCTTCCTAAAAATCTCTCTTTCTTACTTTTGTTCCTGAGTTTTGGCCTTGGCTTATAAGAGTAATGTGATAAAAGATATCAAGAGCTTCTTTAGCATAAACCACATTGTTAGCAGGTTCCCAGGATTGTTCATTGATGTCATAACCTTTCCAGTCAATTATGTAGTATAATTTCTTTTGAATTTTTTTCACATCAAGTATATTATTGACTTCATATTCATTTTCTCATTCTATAATTACAGAAGAAGGAGGTTCCGCTGTTCTGCCAGGAATTGTGTTAGGTAGATAGGTTTCAGTAGAGAGACGTGAAAAGTGTTATAAACTTTAGAGATAGAAGATAATAATAAACGATATGCAACCGGGTTAATTATCTGTATAATAGGATATGGCCCCAACTTTTGATAGTCCAATTTTTTGGAAGAACGAGTGGTATGAATATTGCAGCGTAAGAGCCAGACTTTGTCACCAACTTTGAAATTGTGACCTTCTTGTCGTTTTTGGTCTGCATTTGCTTTGTAACATTTCTGGGCCTTCTTTAATTCACTAATAAGTGTTTTCTTTATCTGATTTAGTTAAACAGCCTTATCTTCAACCAAGGGGATGGAGGAGTGAAATGGTGATTGCAAATCGAAGTGGGGATGAAAGCCATAATTGGCGAAGAAGGGTGTCGTTTTGGTAAAGGCATAGAGTGAATTGTTGTATGCAAATTCAGCTAATGGAAGTAAGTCAGCCCAATTGTCTTTATGGTAGTTGATTGTGCATCATAAATACTGCTCCAACACTTGATTAACCCTTTTGCTTTGTCCATCTAACTGAGGATGGTAAGCTAAAGATAAATTAACTTGGGTTCCTAGCAGGCTGAAAAGATGCCTTCAAAATTTAGAGGCGAATTGAGGTCCCCTATTAGAGATAATGTCTTTAGGGACCCCATTGAGGCATATAATCTCCCTTAAGATTAATTGTGCTGTTTGTTCTGCGGTGATATCTTTGTTACAAGCAACAAAATGCGCCATCTTTGTTAAGCAGTCGACCATGACAAGAATGGAGTCAAAACCTAAAGATGTAGATAAATCCGTGATAAAATCTATAGAAATAGACTGCCATTGTTGAGCAGATATAGGAGGACCCCGAACATCTCTAATATAGGTCATAATTGATCTGCATAAATTTAAAGGTTTTTGCTACCCCTAAAATCAAGTAAATTTGCTAAAAATTCAATTATTA